AAAAAGTCAAAGATAACTCACTCATGAACAAAGCAAAATAAGCCACAAAACCCTAAACATAATGATTTTTCCTTCTATTTATGTACAGAAATGTCATGAAAATATTTTGGTGCATTTTGTAATTGTGTCAATATTAAGAACTATCTACAAATGAATTGATTTCTTCTAAGAATCCATAGATACAGAAGTAGTTTTTTCCTTTTCAGTTTATGGAACAAGTTCTTCTATAATGACCTGAAATAATTATTTAATAATAATATGATTAAACAATGTAAAAACCAGTTGCTTAGTGTCAATTATTTTTACATATGTGTATCCTATAAATTATTTTAATCGCATTTACATTTAATAAAACACTGACATAAAAGCATATAAGTTTATTTTATGTGCAAAATCACATATAGTATACACCGAGTGACACTTAAAAGGCATGAAAGAGTAACACTAGCTTATTTTCTGAAACAATCTTGACTCTGATGCTAAATTACAACTCAGAAACATCTAGCGTTTTTACCTTTATGAGAAACGGCTTTTTACATATTTAACATAATTCCAGGGAAAATAAACTGGAATTATGTATAAAGATACATGCACTGTAACCAAAGGGCGTTTGTATTCCCCTTTAGAATACTTAACGATGATTTCATAGCCATTTTGTGTCATTTTCAAAAGGATATAAAATGTAGCCAGTAAACAAACTAGACTTTAGATTTAAGGCGACAGCTGCTCCTTCAGAAGCAATATTCAGATATTTAATCTTAAGAACATTGACTATTCTTTATTTTACAACCAAGTAAAGTATATGAAAAAATGAAAGGACTGCGTACTTTGGCTTATTATTTTCACAGCAGTGGTGATCAACATGGCCACCACTGCCAACACGCCATCATCACTAAATCCCAGAGAATTCATCCAAATGTCAGCCCTTATTTGTTTCAGGAAATTAACATCTGTGCTCTACTTTTTCAAAATGCAAAACTTCCTTTCTCTAAAATAATGCTGATTCAACCTATTATTTACTCTGTCATATTATTTCTAGTTTTATATATATATATATTTTTTGGAAATCTACAATTGTAATCTAATTTTAAGACTCTTTACCTCTAGTTTAGATTCCTGTAGTTCAGGTACAGAGATCTGAATTCTGTTGAAGAAAAAATTTATTTCGCTATGGAGCCATAATGTGTTTAACTAGGCCTCCAAATATTGCTGTCAGTGAATTAGTGCTATGCATACGCGAGTCCTCTGTTAAGTTGGCAAATTAAAACAAAATCTGTCCGAATGTTGTATCTGCTTTATGATTCCTCCTCCGCAGCCTCCTTACCATCTTTATAACGGCCTCTCACTAAAACCTTATCAATGGGGGTGGGATGGGGGGGGGGGGGGGAGGGAGACGCAAGAGGGAAGAGATATGGGGACATATGTATATGTATAACGGATTCACTTTGTTATACAGCAGAAAGTAACACACCATTGTAAAGCAATTATACTCCAATAAAGATGTAAAAAAAATAAAAATAATCTGTTAGCTTGGGAAGTATTAGTAATAAAGATATACTTTAAAAATAAAGAAACGAAAAAATAAGGTAATTATGAACTTAGAGGGAGAAAACATTCTATAAGAAGAAAAAAAGAAAAACCTTATCAATGTGTGTTTTGGGGAGCTGCGTATGACCCATTCTACCAGATAGACTGCAAATAAAGTCAACTCCGTTTTTCTAAATAGACACTTGAGGGTATATCTACCCTTATTAGCAGTCAATTAGCTATCTCTTTCTTAAGGCCTGTTTTAACACAATTTCTAAGAAATCCAGGGACTTCTTTATACCAGAGAAGGCCAGTCCTGCTTCAAGCACAAGGCAAAAAGAGCTCACATCTGTTGACTCCATGGCCATGGGTGTTTCTGTTCACCACCAGCTCCATACATCCACACGGCATGAAAGACCCTTGTCTGTCTCTGCAGAAACCCTTTGCCGGTCACAGTGCCTAGCGATAGGCACAGAGACGTCCCAAGCTTGCACTCTATTCATTTACATTCATACATCTGTAACACTGTGCTGGTGGGGACATGAGTGGCTAACCAAGTTCACGGTGGCTTTTGCCTCATCCACATAGTGTGCCAGATCTAGTTTTCCCCAAAAAAAGTTGATCGTGAGAGGCTTTTATTTTTTTTTACCATTTTTAAAATTTCTTTTATGAATGGGTAAACTTTGGAGTTTCTTTCTTGGCCATTTTCATTGACGTTCCTTATTATTTCTTAAAGCTAGATTCTGACAGTGGAATTACTAGGCCAAAGAATCTGAGAATTTAAAAGGATAGATATTTATGAGCATATTTCTTATACACAAAAATATATATCTCCAAATTGCCCTCCAGAAAAGGAGGACAAACAGAAAGCCACCACTGCAATGAATGGGAAGTTTGCCCAACATTTTGATAACCTTTTTGGCTATAGCTACACAAACTATGCTCTCTGTAACTTAAAGAGGTAGGTTTGAAATATGAGGTCACATGGATATCATAGTTCACTGTCATTTTCTGCCTTTGGAAAATGCTGCAAGACTAGGTTGTGTTTTATTTTCAAAGCACGGCACATTTAAATACAAGCTTGCTGTGAGATTTTAGTTGTTTGCAATATTTACTTTCTAGAAATGTTTATTCCCAGTAATCAGTGAAACTCATAAAATAAGTATGATTATAATATTATGAGCTTATTCTTCTAGCACAAATCACTTGAAATATGTGACTCTAAACAGATAGAGTAATTGGAAAGTGAATTGTCTTGCACAACAATTAACTAAGAAGTGACAAGTACGTTTCATTAGTGATTATGATTAAAGCTAGTTATATTTTTATTCCCTCTTTCCCAAACCTGTCAAGCTGAAGTATATTTGTTAATTTGATTTATATTCACATAGATGTACAGATCATTTTGTACAAGTACATTTTTGACACATTATGGTGGCAGCTGTGATGGGGACAAGGGGAATAGTTTAAAATTTAGGAGCGATTTTTAAAAAACCAGTTCATCCCAGAAGGCGACATGCTGTTAGTCTATGGCCCTGTGCATCAGGGTAAAGAAATGCTTCCAGGTAATTAGTCCAGGTGATAACTGGGGAAGTTCCTAGAATCCTGAGCAAATCAAACCACTCCTGCTCTCATGTCCCTTCTTGCTCACACCATACGGACATTTTAAGGAATTCCTGTTAATAAAGACATACTACTGAGTAAGGAAACATCCCAATAATCCATTTCCTAGAGGATAAAGTGGCGACTGAAGTTGTTATTCTGATTCAAATTCTCAATAACAAAGAAAGATCGTGAATGGCAGGACAACTTAGGGGAAAGTGACTTTGTCATTCTGGAATTCTCAATTCTGGTGGAGGCTGAATGCCACCCCACTTGATATTAGGAAGGTGCATTTCAGAAATTTCAAGAACAGTTGGCATGCTCCACCACATGAGGATCTAAATGGTAAGGTATCACAGGAGGCATGGACAAAGCTCTAGAATTGCAACTCTGAGTTACACTTTTAGATAGTCTTGATAAGAAAGAAGACTGAATAAATTCTGTTGTGGTATAGAATGTTTCCCAATAAACTTAGGTTTTAAAAAGATCATATACTAAGAAAAGCAAAGAAAGGTGTATCATGAAATTACAAAAGAAAGAGAGATGTTTAAGGACAATGACCGGGAGAGAATTCCCTGGCGGTCCAGTGGTTAAGATTCGGCTCTCTTACTGCCAGGGCCTGGGTTCCATCCCTGGTCGGGGAACTAAGATCCTGCAAGTTTCATAGCACAGCCAAAAAAAAAAAAGCTCTAATAAAAATAAAAGAAGAAGAAGAATGACAGGGAAGCAATAATGGAAAAGTACGACACAATTTTAGATAACAGTGGGTGGAGTGGACTCTAAGAAAACCTGACAAGAAAGATTCGACAAAAGGAGAAATCAAGGTGTCCAAAGACAGCTATTTTTCTCAACATTATTTAGTTGTATATGTCAAATATCTATTTCTGCTTAATCACAAAATGTTTTTTATTAACCCACATAAGTAGGAATTACAGTAGATGTCCTCTTTCTTATCCAGAGAAATGTATTCAGTTTGCCAGAGTAGATGTAAATGTGGGTCCCTGCCTTTCTCATTGGGGTGGCCTTCAGTTCAAGAGACTATAAGTTCTAGGGAAAACAGTCCTTCAGCAGAATTCTTGGAAATGTTACATACCTTCAAGACGTAGGAGAGCCAGATGAAGTCAGTGAAATTGATGATTCTTATAAACAGCCCAAAATAAACCCAAACTTTGTGTGACAAGTGAAACAGGATGTTGGTAGGGTTGCTAGTTGTGCACTCAAAGATAATTAGTCTTGTATACACAGAAAGCTTCTCTTGGGACAATGAGTTCCTTCTAAAAGGAATGCTGTCCTATGTTTTCCCCTGATAGTTTTGTTTTCTATCCATTTCATCACACAAAAGTTATTAATTGCAAAAGAGAAAATCCCAGTCTTGTATTTTGTTTTGACATTTTTTGGTTTCTGTAAGATTAGGATAATTCACTTTTCACATGTGTTTAAATTGCTAATTATGACTCTGTGCTCTGTATTACTAAATATTATACAAATGCTTATTTATATTTTTGCTGTATTATTAAATTACTGTTAAAGTCAGAAAGAAATGGGAGATATATGTACACGTATAGCTGATTCACTTTGTTATACAGCAGAAACTAACACACCATTGTAAAGCAATTATACTCCAATAAAGATGTAAAAAAAAAAAAAAAAGAAGAAGAAGAAAGAAATGGAACCAAACCATAAAACCTAAATTGAAAACTCCTGTTAAAATGTGGAATTAGGTTAACTATAATGGCATTTCAGGGCATTTCCAAGCTGTAATTTTTTTTCAGGGGAAAAATTGGGAAAAATCACAGGTTTTGCTCATTCTGCCTAAATATTTCTTTGAAGTGTGGTAAGTTAACATGTGCCATTTTGTCACCACTTTTCAGGTGTTTGGTGATATCAGTGGCTTAAAGTTTATCCCCAGTGAAGTGGTCACGGCTATTCAGGAGCATCTAAGCGAAATGGACAGTACACTGGAAGACTCCTCAGATATTAAATCAAGAGGATTGAAAAGAATCCATTAAAACAAAAAGGTATTTTCCCCCGATTAAATATTTTACTCATTGCTGTACCTGAGTGCCTCAACTTAGAAGTGCTTCTTCCTTCTTGCTTTCTTAAAGGTCCACAGTGGTGCACAAGTCATGGTGAGAAGACTAAGTTCAACTTCCTTTTCAATCTACGGCCTTATAATATGTCCTTTACCAGAAGTCAGTAACCAGTACTGGAAACAACAGCTGGACGTCATGATTGTCCCAAATATGTTTTCAGAGAACATAGACTCATCTTCATTAGCTTAGAAAGAGCTACTTGGCTCCTGTGAAGTATGAAGAGAGATAGAATATCATTTTTCACACTCTCCCACAACAGTACTCTTTCCTTTGGAGGGAATAAGGGGAATGGCTAGAAGATGATATAACCAAGCCTAAATAAATCCCCTTTCCCATTCACTTAGCATAAAATTTCACATTTTTTTTCTAGAAGAAATTTCAAGGAAAAACATGGAAAAATTACATAATAAAAAAAATCAAGTCACTTAAATTAGTTGTTTTACAGCACAAACACTTTGTATTCTAAGATATCAACAAACAGCCCCAAACTGGCTGGCTCCCATTTGGGCTCCCCTCATCCACCTTAGCTCTTTCTAAAAGGACCAAAGTAGCAAAGCCCTCTTGCCAGTTCTTTAGACTATTCCTTTTTGTCTTTACTCCCTTGCTTTCCTTTTTTCAACTGAAGGTTTGGAATAGGACTTAGGATCACAAGAGGACAAGGAACTGTCAGAGGGCTGATGGGTTATAAAAAAAAATCCTGCATCTTTAAGAGTCATTTGTCCTCATTACAGAGCAATAAATACAGAGGATATCTAGGCCCTCTGGTCCTCCTCTGCATTTTTAAGGAAGGGTAAGCAGGTGTTTTAACAGTCACCTCTCTCAAACAAAAAGCAGTGTTTATTAGAGAGGTCAAATTTGATACCTATAACTGGGAAACATAAACATATCCCATCCTGGTGATTTTTCAATCCTCATCTTTAATTATTGTCTAACTATAAGGATATCTTCAGTCTTACATAAGACATTGAGTTACACTAGATGTTCCCTCTATTGGCAGAAATTAGCATATGCATATACTGTCTATATTTTTCATCCTCTATAGCTCTTATTGAAGGCAGATCAACATATATTAACATCTCTGACAACAGATCTCAACTTCACAGAAACTAGTGAACATTCTAAATATGTTTTAATGGCTTAAATTCTTGCACCTGCACAGCTCAGGAAACTAGACTCTTCCTTCAAAATGATACGGGACTGTCAGTGTCAACGACTTCTTGCATTCCTCACCTCCACACTTGCAAGCATAATTACCTGGTCGTAGCTCTGGTCATCAGGTACTCACCTTCACTTTCACCGAATAGCTTTCTATTCTAACTACATGCTTTGCCTTCCCCATTGGAGCATGAATTACCTGTGTGGAGAATTTCTCAAATGTATCTTCTTATTAACAGAGCTTCGAATGATTCTTGGCCCTATGCAGGGGCCCAATAAACGTTTCCTGTTGGGAAGATGGTGTGAAGGAGAGGTGGGGGAAGGGATTAGGGCCAGGTGTTATCATTTATAGTGTAAATAAGAAGCCCATCCCTCCCCCTGAAAAAGTGGGGCTGGATACAGTAAAGTAAGTTCTATGATAGACCTGTATCAATACAAAATATACTGAGAAGGATAAATGTATACATATAAGTAGATTTCTGCCTCCTAAACTGTACTTCATTAGATTATTAGGTCAAGTTGATAAAGCAAATGTAGTTGAACAAGTGATTTGGTAAGTTTTTCACTGAACCATCATTTGCTTAACTGAATTAATAAAAACACCTATTGATTTTATAGGTCTGTCACTTTTTTTTTTTGGCTGCACCGTGCGGCATGAAGGATCTTCCTTCCCCGACCAGGATCGAACTCCCTCGCACTCCCTGCAGTGGAAGCACAGAGTCCTAACCACTGGACAGCCAGGGAACTCCCCTGTCACTTTTATTATTTATGCTTTTCTCACTAAAATGTAAGCTCTTCGAGGGCAGGGATCACCGTCTGCTTTAATGAGTGGTACCTGCCCCAGTCCTCAGGACTGCTCTTTGAACTAGTAAGTGTTCTGTCAATTTTCATTGGATGAAAGCATAAACTGATAAGCCAGGTTTCACTTCACTTGATATTTAATGTGTTGTACAGCAGTGAACTGAATGAACCATGCAGAGGTCAGCAATCAATTGATACTTTTCTTTTTTGTGTGTTTCCTTTAGGGACTGGTGGTCCCAATGAAAGCATTCGTATAATTCAGAAAAACAATATTTTCTTGCCCCTAAAGGATGCCCATGGCCATAGTGTATTTCCTAATCCAAAAAGTCTCCTGCTACATTACTGCAAAGCAGGAGTTGTTCAGTATTTTAAAATCAAGTCTACAGAACGTTTTGTTGCTCTAGTTGTTTTATAGTTGTTTTCCATTGAACTGATCTTACAGAGCTTCAACATATGAGTCTTAACACTTTCATTAACATATTGTGTGTGTGTGTGTGTGTGTGTGTGTAGTGTGGTGGATAGAGATTTACTAACATGTTCTTTCAAGAGTTCTTTCCTGCTGAGAAGGCCCATTCTAATGCTCACAGACTCAGTGCAGTAACTTAGTCCAATGTTGAAATAAGATTTGGGTACTATCTTATCTCTGAAGTAAATACCGCATTTGCATTGGCATTGAAACAAGCTATTTGACTTAGATTTTTTTTGGATGTACGTGTAGGGTTAGTTTCTTAATAGAAAAATAAATGGGGGAAAAAAGGACCCTTTTATTCTTATAATCAATTCCTCTCATTTCTGTGGCCCTTTATGAATTGCAAACAATAATCCCATGGATAAGGAGGGATGGGGATGGTCTTTGTTAGTAGATGCTCTGCAAGAACAGAGTTCTAACTTGAACATCTTCAGTATAATATTCCATTAGCAGTGTACATATATTCATATACCGTGCAAAGTGTTATTTCAAAATTCAAGATAGGTTTCTAGGGGACTATATATCTCTGTAAATTCAGTTATTTTTTCTCAGTATATTGAGGATAATTACAATACTAATAATTATTTTTCAAGAATCTACTAGTAAAATAAGCTCTCCTTTATCTATAAACTCATGCATTTTTTTGATTATTTCACTGATAACTTCTTTGCTAGCATTGTAGTTTCTCACTGATTTGTATCATTCACATTGATGTTTTTCCTCACATAGAGATAATACACAATACAAACTATGGTTATAATTGAAAACAGTAAAAAAAAATACTTTTAATAGATCATTTTTGCTAGCACCTACTGTGCTTTTATTGTCCAAATAGATTATCCATTTGAAATTAAATTTTATTAAGGAATAAAAATATAAATAAGAAGGAATTAAACATTTAAATGCTTGCTGTAAATTTAAAAATGAGATCTATTCAATTTTCCTTGTACTAAGCTCAGAGACAATAGATAGATTACACTGTCAGTTAAGCAAGTAGATGACAAATGAGTGATTTTCATCCTTCAGTTAAGTATGGTGCTAAGTGGTATGTGCTGGCATTAAAAGCAAATTACTTATCACTTCAACAATCACAGCATGAGAGCATTCTATTGGAGGCTGTATTTCCAGTCTTTCTTGGTCCTCAGTTTTATTAAATAAATCAACTGATAATGGTTGGATAAGCAAAGGAAAAAACCTGGATGGCGTTATGACATTTCCATTTTATAAGTACCTATTCAAGACATCTCTAAAATGGTCTTTTGTAGTCACTGAGAATTCACACTCACATCTCCGTACACACATACACACACTATATTCATATATAATTTCATCTGGTCCCATTACCTACGTGAAGCACAAATTCCTTCTGCTTCATCACTTCCAGCTGGCCATCTCACTCAAGCTTAAACACCTCTAGGCGTGGGAAAATCACCACTGCCAGTGAGAACTCTCATCACTATCGCCACTAGGAATTCCTTCCAGTAGCCTGAAAATAGCCCTTACTGGGTTTGAGGTCCTTGCACGAACCTGCCAATTATAACAGCTCAGAGCCTTGGCCAATGAGAAGCCTTAACTAAATAGTAGTTGACTGAGTGAAATCAAGTAAGCCTCATCTCTTTTTTTTTAATATAAATTCTTTTATTTTGAATACAGTGCATTTACACATATTTTCCTTTTTGTGACTGGGGAGGTGTTGGGGAGAGGGGTGCGGACATACTCAAGGGTGAGGAAGGTAACCCTGGGTACTCCGTTCAGAGATTCAGGAAAAGTTCCACTAACCCACACAAACAATTATTGTTTTGCCTACTCTAGCAATGCCTACAATGTTTTAAATAGGATCAAATATTTGTATTACATAGCGAGACACTGGTCTTGTAGCATGAACACAGAGATCTGGTGGGCAGGGGGTCTGCTTGATCTTGAACAATGAGGACATTTGCAGGACCAGGAGACAGTGGAATTTAGAGACTCTTCCATTAATGACTTCCTTAATCTGTTTAAACCCTGGGATGAGCAGGAAATCTTTTCTAAAATGGTATAAGTTCCTTAAAAATAATCTCTCCAATATTTGAGTCATGATAAGAACTCAGTAATTGTATGATCAATGGATGAATGAAGGAATGAATAAATAAGTACGTACATACATAAATGAGATAGTACAGTATAATGATTAAGAGCTGGGGCTCTGAAGTTAGATCCAGGTTGAAGCCCTTCTCTATAACTTATTAACTATGTGATGTTGGACAAGTTACACACTCTCACTGAGAGCTGGCAAACATTATTTGCTAATTCAGTGACATATTTGGTACATGTGGTTTTGAGATTACATGACTGGAGAGAATATCTCAATTTCTGAATATCTGGTGCACTCTGTCCACCCCAGTGGTGGGAAAAGGCTACCTCACAAAAGGCCTCACCTGATCCAAAGCTGACCACATGGGATGTGAGCGCTGCTTGGTCAGGAAGGGAGCTTAAAAGGGTACCGGCCGAG